GCACTTCCAACCTCAGAGATGAAAACACCAGTCACAAGGCAGCAAAGAAACATGGGCAAGCAACTGACCTACAGCAAGAGGGTAACCCCCAAATTCCTGTTGCCTTAATCCCTTCCTTCAGAGTCCCACAAGAAGCACCAAGAATAATTTTCACTACCTACTTGTCTTCTCAGGAGGGAAAAAAAAAGGGAAGGGAAAGGAAAAAAACAAAACAAAACACAATTCCTGTTTGTGCTACCTGATGTCATGAGCAGACAGCAGAAAAGCAGGGGGCATTAAATTAACGGTGCCCAGCAAATGAAAGTTTACACAGCTCTGAAGTCATTTCTGGTAACAACAAAATAGAATTATTCCCACATTTGTATCCTATACACCAAGAAATACAAGAATCACTTTAATGGACTATGAAAAATAAACCAAAGAAATTAAGGCACAAAAGAATCAAAGCTGTAAGTCAAAATTAAAGAAACCTGTTTTGGCTGAGCATAGTGGCTCACACCTGTAATCTAGCACTTGGGAGGCCAAGATGGGAGTATTTCTTGAGTTCAAGAGTTCAGGACCAGCCTGGGCAACATAGACAGACCTCATATCTACGAAACATCAACAAAATTAGAAGGGCATGATGGTGTACACCTGCAGTCCCAGCTACTACTTGGGAGGCTGATGTGGAAGTATTGCCTGAGACTAGGAATTTGAGGCTGCAGTAGCCATGATGGTGCCACTGCACTCGAGTCTGGGTAACAGAGTGAGGCAAATAATTCCAAAAAATTAAATAAATAACTAAGCCTGTTTTGTTTCAAGTTATACCAGTGCCTCGCTGTGGCCTTTGCCTCAGCTTCCTCAAGTGTAAAAAACAGTAATGAGACGAATTCCAAAACAGGATGACCCCAAAGATCATCTATTCCAATTTCGTCGTTTAATTCGAAAAGGTTGTATTATTCATCCTAGAGTTTCTCTTTCGCAGAGAAGGGCTCAGCAGAGGAAGACTCAGGACTACTGCCTAATGTTCCTCCAATCCACCATTCTGTGAAAAGCTAATAAGTAGGGAAATGGCAAATCAACCCGACTGCCACTTTGATAACATCATCTGTGTGATAAATTCCAGTAGGAGCTACAATGCAGAACAGCCCTAAGTGCCTACAAAGCAACACCTGCCAACACGCTACTAGGGATTCATGATGCCCCAGGGCTGTGTTCACTCCAGGAGGATAAAGCTCCCCAGGAGAACTCAAGGAGAGTTGCTGCAATCAAGACTCAGGGAGGACTCAGGGAGGAGCTTTACAGTCACTGAGCTGAGCACCTGTCATCGACTTCTGCCCAATCCTGGTCTGAAACAGACTTCAGGTGGCTCTTAGATAAGACGTGGGCTAGGAGAAATTAAACCAGAAAACAACACAGGAAAATAAAATAAAGAGAGACACAAAATAAAGCCAGGCATGAGGTTTTTAAAAAGGTACAACAAAAAGATCTACAGGCTTAGTGCCAAACTTCCAGAAGCCAAGAGGAAAACAGAAATTTAGTGAACACAAATGACAGCACCTAGGTAGGAAAAACAGACTGAAAGCTTAGACAAGAATACAGTGAGTCTTGGCTTCACATCTTTCTCCCTGACATCCTTATAAGGAAGACATTGCAGAATACAAGGAACAATATCCTCAACATTTCAGTAGTCACCATGAAATGTTTTAAGATATTATCTTTACACTGGACCTCAAAATAAGTCTACAGTAACAGTTCAGCCTTGAATTGTACTCCACATCTTTAAAATAAAATGTAAAACAACAGTTCAGAGGACAAAAGAAGAAAAAATTCAGGGAAGAAAAGTCTACATAATGTGGTCCAGGTACCTAGAACACTGCTGATTGAAGAACACATTTAAGACAATAGTTAGAAAAATTATTATTTTAACAGCAAGTAATTACTACAGAAGTCTTATAATATAAGCACAGGGCCCAGAAAAGGAAAATCTACTTTAGTAAGACGAGGAATGGGTCCAGAAATGCACAATAAAATAGCAGGAAGAAAAAATTTCCAGAGGGAAAAACAGAAGGAATATTTTTTTAAATGAAGAAGGGAGTAGTGAGCACAAGTGCTCAGCGAGTGTCCCACATGCCTGAGAATTGAACGCTGTGAGTTCTACTTCTACAACTAAGAATTCACATGAAGGTATTGACAGGCACATGCAGCTCCCTTCTTAGTCCCCTAACCAAGGAGATGAGGTTTACATTTTTAGGCCTTCCACAGCAATGTCCGTAAACAATGACCTAAGTTATTGTATGAAACCCAAAAGAGTGCAGAATTTTTTCAAAGCAGTTATATGTCCACTGTACCAACACATGAAAATATGTGACACATTTTAGGAAGATTTTCCTCAAAAACCTAAAACAAAGAAGTGTAAGAGTCTCAAAATCAGCAAACAAAAAAAGTTAAGTTAATCCCCAAAAAGGGAAAGACCCTAACAAGTCCCATGTAGCACTATACAGTTTACTGTCAAGTATAACGCAATGATAAGCATGCAGACTGCTGAAACTTCAGCAACACATAAAAATCAATCATTCTGTTTGGGCTGGCCCGTGTCAAGGCCTTACAGTGAATTACCGTCTTCCCTCCCAGAAGCAGGAAAGAAGAAAACACACAAATGAATCCTAGATGAAGGGCTTATAGTTTTCACAGAACCATCCGCTTGCCGTTTAAGCAACGTCATTTAAAAACAACGCATTCCAACAGTCTCCCCTACCATCAGGGCTGCCTGGCGAAACCCAACCCACTGTATCTGGCAGAGGAGGAGTGAACAACAGGCTACCAGCAGGGGGATGAAGGGCTGAAATTCACTCCCTGGATCAAGTTCCCGAGGAACTGACTGGCTTCTCACTCTCGGACTCATTCTTCAGAATCCAAAGAACAACAACTTTTTTGTCTTCCACTCTCACTGTTCACCCAATGGCCAGAAACTTTTAAAATGCTCAGAAGGTCGGCAAGCACCTAGGTAAGTAATAAGTATCAGCCTTAAGAACCAGTCTGGCAAACAGGCACAAGAAATTTAAAAGCTATGCTTTATTGGTGGCTTTCGTTTGGACACAATCAGAATGCGCAAAAAGATGATGTGCTGGGCAGTGCTTTCAGAGCCAAAATTGTCCTTACTTTATTAGGATCTGATGATTGGAAATTCAACTTTCTAAAGCATCATGTAGTTGACTTAACTGCCAAGAGCATTCAACTGACCCCAAAAACATCCTAAAATGATCTCTTGACTCTCCCAGTATAATCACATACTTCCAATCAACAAACTTGTCATGTGAGGAGAATGCTCAGAACTCAGTAGTGAATGAACAGACCAAGAGGTTTTTTCAAGTCCCTGGATTATCCTACAAAGTAAGTAAAGTCCTCTTTTGGGTATTTTTATTTCAATGGAATAGAACACTTACCCACAACATTACCAAAATTTAGAAATGTTTTCAATGCAATGTATCATGAAAACAGTAAGCTTACAGATTCTACGTGCTTTTTTGATAAATACACAAAGTAAGCACATGATATTTAAAATGCTTCAACCAGTGTTTTTTAGACCTTTAAGCACAAAATGTTTAACGTTAACCTCAATGTTTATAAAGCAGTTGTGTATACAGCAAAGCCAGTAGGAATAACGCCACAAATATGAGCAAGTTGAGTTATTCATCCATGGAAAGAGCGAGCTACGTTACAGAAGCAGCAAGTGTCTGAAACACCACTTGCAGTCAGCCTGAACGCAGACGTGGACTCCTGAGCACAGTGAACTAACAAATGATCATGGAACCAGGTCTGCTAAAAAGAAACGCAGTCAAAATTATCCCGACTTTTTTCCTCAAAATAGAAACATACAAAACAACTTCATTTCAGATACACATGTTATTCATGTGAATAACATAAAATTGAAAGACCCGGAAATTTGCTGCTTACAAACATAACTGTCTCACCAACCACACTCTCCAGTGAAAATCTGTCACCTTTTAATATAGTCAAGGAAAAAAACCAATTCTTCCCACCTAGCCAGGCACTTCCGTTTTCCCCAGTAAACCAGCCTTCACAACTGGCACCTCCGCCAAAAGAGGAACTGGCCTGGCCCTCTTTTCCAACATGCTCCTTCTCTCACCAGGTGAGCACCTCTGAGTAGCTCAATGCAGATTTATTTACCTTTATGAATATTTCAACACAGTACTTCCTTGATTAAGTACATGAAAGAGAACAAGGAGGCAAGAAGAACGAAACACCTGTCTCCATCACATAAGTTTGGAGTGCCAGTCATAAAAAGTTTATGTAAAAGTTGCTCAAACCAACAGATTTAGAAAAACTAGTATGTCAATAACCTTAACTCTGGTGAGCGAAAATCATATACAAATCTGCTCAAGACAGGCTCTTTTAGGAAGAGAACTGAGTTGTGAAGGGGGCTGTGCTTGGAGGCAATGCCCAGGACTCAACATTCGAAAACATTTTCTAACTGTTAGTCCTTAAGGCATAAGAAAATCTTAAGTGTTAAGGTTGAAGGTTGGCTATGATCTCTGCTGAAAGTTCAATTAAAAGCAAACATAAATTCCAACAAAGTTAACAGGGCCAACTGAACGTTTGTCCCCACTTACTAGAAACAACAAAACCTGAACACTTAAGCCATGAACTCACCAAAATGTCCTATATATAGTCTCAAAAGAAATCTAACTATTTGCTCTAAAAGAAGCACTGGTACAATTTTACAAATAGGATATCCTTGAGTTTCTTCTCTTAGTAAGACTTCAAAGGGAAATCAGCACCTTTCAGCCTACAGCAACAATGCACCACGGCAGAAACAGCTTCCAATACTTCCCCAGCAGGTAGGTATATGCACCCATCTACCTAAAATTAGGAAAGGGAATGGAACCCAGACATCCCCGTACAAACAGCACCTGCCTCCACCACGGGCACCACTAGACCTGCCACCCTCGAGTCAACGGGTCCCAAGAGCAACACTTGTGTGGTTGGGCTCTACTCACAAGGGTACATGATGCTGCTCTGGGTCAGCTCTGGTCAGTTCCTCCTCTTCGATGTCAGACTCCCCTCCTGAACTGCTGTCAGTGACATCGGAATCAAACGCATGCTCACTGCACCGCAGGCTGGCGACACCACTAGCTGTAAATCGCTCCAATTCTTCTGAAATCGAATCGCTCCTCAGGAAGTTGCTCAGCCCCTCAGGAGCAGTGGTCTCACTGGCAGCTTTTCTCAAGGCAGCCTCAGTCTTTCGAGTCAGCATCAACTGGCTCCGGGGTCTCAAGGATTCCAAGTTTGGCAGTTTGCTCAAAGTCTTTTCCAGAAATCCGCCCAGTTGATGCTGAATATGCCTCTCCACTTGCTTGGCCTGCACCACCTGTAAGCGCCTCTGTAACCTGCGGGCACGGCTCTCAATGTCAGCCTGCCGCCGCAGTAAAGCTGTGATCCTGGAGTCAGAGTCTAAAGCACTGAAAAGAATGGAAGACAGGGGAGACCTTTTACCCTCCAACTTGACACCCCCCAAGTTAGAGCTGGAGTCTGTACCAGACGACAACCTGCTGCCTCCTTGAAGTGCCGGTTGTTCCATGGAATTGACAGAAGATTTGTGTGCAGTGCTATTATTGCTACAGAGAGTTGCATGTCCCACATCAAGGCTTCTGTGTGGAAGAGTGCAATTGGTCATACCCCCCTTCAAGTCCCCCGATCCAGATCCTCCCACTTCACCCCCCTGAAGAGTGGGCGAAGAGAGAGCACGCTTGCCCCCATTGAAAGAGCTGGAACTGTCATGATCAGAATGTGCTGAGCTTTTAGTCAATTTCTTAGCCAGTCCATTGACAGGTGCTTGTGGCAGAGCTGTCTGGCCACTCGGATTCATGGTTCTGAGATTTTCCAGGGAAAACTCCAAGACTGGCTGTCTCCCCAACAGCTCAGCTCGGAGTTCATAGGACTGCGACAGGAGAGGATGAGACTTCAGGACCGCCTGCTTGCTGAAGACCCCTTGCAATTTCAGAGACTCCTTTGAGGGAACAGCTGTTACATCGGAGCAGAGGTAAGATGCCACCAGCGGCTGCAGCTTTCCCAAATCTTCCTTGGTGGGGTTGTTCCGGAAGTCTAGACAGGGATCCTCCCCAGCAATGGCTTTTCTTTTGGTTCCGTTGGCAGCAATAAGGATGTTGGCGTTGCCGTTATTTTCGGCACTGCCAGGGGACAAGGTGGAGGATGGGGGAGCCAGCTTGAACCGGATGTGGTGTGCTTCAGCGGCTGCGTCAGTGAGAGCGGGCGCCATCGCAGCCATTCAGCACAGAGAGACAGGAAGTCCAGCCTCTCCCGATGCCGAGGCCGAGGCCAGCTCCACGGCCCCTTACTGCCTCCCCAGAGAAAAGACTGTAAGAGAAAGAAAAAAAGGAAGTTAGAAATACAGGCAGCACATTTGAAAACAACACACATGTTTTTAATACAAGAACTACTTGAAGACTGCTGTTCAGAAAGAAAGCACTCTGGAGCCAATCTGGAGAGCCACAAAAAGTGTGTGTGTGTGTGTGTTGAGGTAATCTGGAGATCAGGAGAGCCACAAAAAGTGTGTGTGTGTGTGTGTGTGTGTGTGTGTGTGTGTGTGTGTGTGTGTGTTGGGGCAATCTGGAGACCCACGAAAAGTGTGTGTGTGTGTGTGTGTGTTGAGGACCATCCCTGCACAAGAGGAAGAAAATCCCACCCTTCTTTTTTGATCCTTTGTGCTCACAGATTGAAAATTACCACAACACAAGGTCCATTCTGAGAGTATCACAGATTGTTGAATCATCTGCATTTTAAAGAAAAACCTAATTTGTTGAAATTTGTGGATTTAAAACCAAATATACCCAACTAAACGTTCAACAATCAAATCAAAAAATTAATAAGGAACCCCCACAGTATTTTTCACAAAAAAATAGCCTGTCAAATGTCATGGGCCTGTGCATTTTCTGGCCAGGGAATCCAGCTGTCATCAGCCCTCTCCCCTCCCCAAGGACAGACGGCGATGCAAAGCTGGCTGCCTGGCCTGGTCAGCCACTCTTCCTCATGTACACTCTTCTCTGTGGCTCAGGGTGTTCGTGGGCACCTACTCTGCTGGCTCCTCCTCTCCACCTGAGAGCTCACTACAGGACTCTCCAGCCTCAGCAGAGCCTGCCTCTCAAACCCACTGCCAGGCATGTCCCTCCCCTTACCCATAACTTCTCCAGCAGCAGAAGCAGGACCCCTGCATGCCGCACTCCTCCACAATCTGGATTCGCCCTCCCTGCTCTGGCAAAGGTCACCCATCATCTCATGCTCAAATCCCACAGTCAAGTCAAGCTCCATCCTACGTGACTTCTCTGAAGCACACCTTTCCTGATGTCCTTGACACTGCGGTCACCCTGTTCTCTGCCTCCTGGCCCCGTTCAATGTTCCAAACACCTCCTTCTGCCCTCTTCTCTCTCAGCCTCCCCGCCCCCAGAGCAGCTAGTTCTGAGTTGCATCAATCAGCAACTCGCCTCAATGCTCCTTGACCCCCTGAAACTCAGAACTCCCTTTCTTCTCCCAGGACACTGACTCCTCGGCCATCTCCTCGGTTCGGGCAGCGGCCCTGCTTTCGTTTCATGACCAAGCTAGGATCACCGCGCTCATCTGCCTCTGTGGCAGCCGCTGTGACCCATCTGGTCTGGGAGCAAAGGGAAACCTCTGTGAAGACCTGGTCCCCATGTGGTCTCTGGACCTCTAGGGACCACAAGGTCCCCATTCTAGAGGTCCCCATCCCTATTCTGCAGACCCCGTGAAGTCAAAGGTATCTGCATAGCAACACCAAAACTTGATTGCCTCTTCACTGTGTTGACATTTGCAATGGCGCAAAAACAAAACGGGCGCAAAACAAAACGGGCCCAAAAACAAAACGGAACAAAAATGCTGGCGGCTCCACGCACACCAAGGCAGAGGCACAGGACCTCTCAACAGTCACTGCATCCTCCTCTCGCGGCTCCTGCAGCCAGCTCCACCTGAGTTGTCCTTCGCGTAGCCGTAAAAACCATGACCCTCGAACGAACAGCCTCTGATGGAGGGAATGCAGGATCCCGCTGCTTGATGAACTCAGGAGAAAGCACTGAACAGCTAAGGGGCAGACACCCCAGCTTTCCCCTGGAGCCCCATTTCCAATGGACAGCACGGCTGATAAACTGTGATCACCGAGCTTCGCTTCACTAGCAGCCACTTCCTAGAAAATGAACAAAATGAACTTGTCACTTCAAGGAAAACCACTGAAAATCAATGATAACATCTGAGTTTTCAGGCAAAAACTTGCATTTTGAAAACTTGTACCCACCATCATGAGCCTAAACACTTTCCCAATACTTAAAAGTCATTTCTGGTTTAACTGACCCCTGGTAATATGAACGAATGTGAATTGTGGATACCATATAACATAATGTGTCAATATTTGGAAGGTCTGCATAACTCAGGAATGACCAACAGACCAATACATACAAGGAAACCATGCAAGAGTGAAAGCAGGTGCAAGCCAGACACCATACCTGGGTGCAACAGAGTATCAACAGTTGCTGGATACATCTGTAGACTGCCACACTGCAACTAACCTTTATGAAACTATTACTTGTTGAACCTGCCATGTAGTGTCAAAGGACAGCAACAGTTAACTGAAAAGACTATGAAAATACTGTATGCCACACTTTTCCAAGTATGTAACTGTATGAAGCAGGACTCTCTTTACTTCAACCAAACGAACATATCACAAAAGAAGAAATGCAGACCCATTTAAGAACTCAAGTGTTTTCTTTTGTTGTTGTTGTTGCTTTTAAAGGCAGGGTCTCCCACTCTGTTGCCCAGGCTGGAGTGCAATGATGCAATCCTAGCTCACTACAGCCTCAAACTCCGGAGCTCAAGCAATCCTCCCCTGCTTCCCCCCAGCCTCCCAAAGCACTGGAATCACAGGTGTGAGCCACTGCACCTGGCCAAATTTTTTTTGTTTTGGCTGCAAGTTACTTTTCAGGCCAGGAGCAGTGGCTCAGGGCTGTAATCCAAGCACTTTGGGAGGCTGAGGCAGGAGGAATGCTTGAGCCCAGGAGTTTGCCTGGGCAATGTAGCGAGCCCTGATCTCTACAGAAAAATTTAAAAAGTAGTTAGGCATTGTGTCACACACCTACAGTTCCAGCTACTCAAGAGGCTGAGGCAGGAGGTACACTTGAGCCCAGGAATTGGAGGCTGCAGTGAGCTGTGATCATGCCGCTGCACTCTAGTCTGGGCAACAATAAGAGTCCAACTTTAAAAAATAAACAAATAAAAAAGAAAGTTACTTTTCAAAATATGTAATGGGTTTGTTTTTGTTTTTTATTTACTTATTTTGAGTTGGAGTCTCACTCTGTCGCCCAGACTGGAGTGCAGTGGCATGCTCACAGCCACCGCAGCCCGACCTGCTCAGCTCAAGCGATCCTTCCACCTCAGCCTTCCAAGTAGCTGGAACTACAGGCATGTGCCACCATGCCCGGTTAATTTTTTTTTTATTTTATTGTAGAGATGCGGTCTCCTCAAGTTGCCCAGGCTGGTCTTGAACCCGTGGTCTCAGGCAATCCTCTCACCTTGGCCTCCCAAAGTGCTGGGATTATAGGTGTGAGCCACCACGCCTGGCCAAATGGATTTTTTTAAAAATAGTCACTAAGTCCTTGGCTCAGTCTGTAATCTCGTGCTTTGGGAGGCTGAGGTGAGTGGATTGCCTGAGCCCAC